ACGTTATACACCATACATTCCTATATACATATACATGCAAACACTGTGCACGCACGCATGCATGCATACAAACTCAAATGCATACATACATTCCTGTATATGCATACATTCATGCGCACATGGATTAATATTGATGTATTCCTATTCACACGTGCGTTCAGTGTCCATCTTCTATATATTATTGTTTTGCAAAAAGCATGCACATATTAATGACCGTGTATTCTTCCTGGGTCTGTATCTACGTTTGCACGGTATGTGCATATGATTTCCCTCTAATAAGATATTCATATTATTTCTGTATGGTACTTGTGTTTATGATTGTCCAACAATAAAGTTGCTTTATTATTTATTTGGATATTGCATGTATGCGCCCACCCCAGCAGCAGCAGCCACTATTTCTCGACCTCGGGGTATTCCAGGTATGTGCTTCCCCAATAACATATGTACGTCCAATCAATGTGCATCTGTATGTGTATATTGTGAATAAGGTTCAACAGAACCATTTAATATATCCTAAAACTATCACGACTACAGCATGTTTCATCAACAACCATGTCGACGACACAAAACCTCATCACATGTGGTCCGTCATATAACCGTCTGTGCACGCATCACATGTGCATGTGCTTTGTTATCCAACCCTCTGTACACCATGTGCACTGTTCACCATGTATACTGTACACCATGTATACTTTTATTCAACCGTCCGTGCCCCATGTTTACTTATACTTGGATGTTCCTACTCTTCTTCTTCTTCGTCTCTCTCGCCGCGCAGAGGGCGTTTCTGCAATGCTTTGAGCACAGTCAGGAACGGTACATTCTCATACAGCACAGAATAGACGGCGCTGCATATCGGCATATCTAAGCCCAGTTTCTGTTCAGAGGTGCAGTTCACAGTGTGTGAAAGATGAGGGGGTGGAGGAATGGACTTAGATGAACTCAGAGCTATAGGGACATCTAAACCCAGTTTCTGTTCAGTGGTGCAATTCACAGCGTGTGAAGGATGATGGGGTATACATATAATAATTATAAAAGACTTGTATGTATAAATATAAAAATAATAAAAGACTTATATATCATCTCATCAACAAGAAGTAGACGTTCTAATTCTGCGGACGTTGCGACGTCCCACTATTATCGCAGCGGTTCTCATTGCAGTCAATGTGTAGATAGGGTTTTAAGGGTTATGACCAGTCAATAACCAGTACACATACGTGAAAAACTCAACACACACATCCGAGGCAACGCCTCACTACGCGTACTATACGTTAGACCAATCCGTTTCACAAATTACACAGACGATGCATACGAAACTGAGACTACAGGCGATAGACGCACGAGATAGGATTCACGTTAAGCATCACACACACAGGTGTATGTACACATTTAGCATGAACATCCGATAATTAGTGCTAACCTTCCTACGGTCACTAGCACCAGAGTAGTCCACAGAGCCAATGTTTGTCAGGCAAGTACATATTGCGCACCCTCTACGAAGCAACACTCCTCTGGACGAAGTGGGACAGTACAATATACCCTAAACCCTACTTCCTTTGTTTGCGATGAGTGAGTACACACATATTTCCAAATCTACTTACCACGCTCATCTGATGTATGGACCAGGCCGTGAATACGCCCTCAGCAATGGACTGCAGAGATTAATAAGTTGTATGCGATGAAAAGGGGCGCTAGTGGATGGCTTTATATTAGATGTTAGTTACCAGTTACTAGTTATTAGTTATCAGTTACCAGCTATTAGTTACCAGTTATTAGCTACCAGCTACTAGTTACCAGTGATTAGTCACCAGTTATTAGTAATTAGTTCTTATTTTTAGTGTATTCAAAATACTTTCAAACCAAACAGCAGGGAGCACTAAACAGCAATTAGTTACACCTCCATGCCAACTGTATCGTACTCGTCGGGTGCTTTCGTAGACGAGGCGGCTTCAGGATCACCCAACATGGAACAGAGACGTCACCCACCAAACTACACAAGCTAACTACATTGTGCATAAGATGTAATAAAACGTTAACTACACAAGCTAACTACACTGTGCAAAAGAAGTAATATAACGTTAATTACACAAGCTAACTACACTGTACATAAGAAGTAATAAAACAATAACTACACAAGCTAACTACACTGTGCATAAGTAGTAATAAAACAATAACTACACATGCTAACTACACTGTGCATAAGATGTAATAAATGCTAACTATACTGTGCATAAGAAGTAATAAAACCTTAACTACACAGGCCAACTACACTGTGCATATGATGTACTAAAACCTTAGGTACACAAGCTAACTACACTGTGCATAAGATGTATTAAAACCTTACCATCCTACTACTGTACATGCGTTCATAACTATATACTACACATCCGCATGCATCATTGTACTACACATGACTACAACGCCAGACAGCTTGGGTTTATAGGGTTAGAGACATACAACATACATTTCTGCATGCATTTATAGATATTTACTACACATGACCTTCCCGCCAGACAGCTTGGGTAGGGTTCCAGACATACATACAACATACATTGGTCGACGCTTTGACTTCCTCCAGAGTTTCACCTTTGGCCATGCGAGCGCCCACAGTGAAGTTGCGCGACATGGCACTATTACACGTCAGCACTAAATCACCCACTCCAGCCAGAGTCAGCAGTGTGCGGATGTCTCCGCCTTTGGCTACGATCAAACGACCCACCTACAAGCATAGTACGCGAGGGCAGGTGTGTGTTTTTGGAGTATGCATGGGCTGATATATTGGGTGTGTACAGTTGTATGTTAACAGGTTATTATATTCGGTGTGTACATTTATAATGTACAGGTACAGATACAGATACAGATACAGATACAGATATATATATATATATATATATATATATGTGTGTGTGTGTATACGAACATACATACATATGTATATATATATACGTATATACATACATACATATATATATATATATGTATATATATACATATATTTAGATATATATATATATACATATGTTTAGATATCTATACGTTTATACATATACATATATACACGCACACACGTATATATATATATGTATATATATATATATACATACATATCCATTCATATATATTAATATATATATACA